TTTTCTTTTTTCTTTTTCCTTTTTTTTTTTTGGAAAGACGAAACTGCCTCAGTTGCCTTTTTTTCCCCTTCCTCCGTTTCCCAATTTGAAGTGACCATGAAAAAAGAAATAAAAGAGCTACAACCGCCATGAAGTAAGTAAAGTAGCTAACCAGCCACGCCACTTACCTTCCCTCACTCACCGTCTCGAAGTTGCCGAGAGGCATCAGTCGCGCAGTACACCTACCCTACCCAGGCCCATCCTACCCAATCCTACCTATCCTATCCCACCCCATCCCATCATCTCACAGCCAACTATCTAGCTAGCCAGCCAGCCAGCCACGTCACTACCGCGAATGATGGTTATACTAGCAGAGAAAGTAGTCTAGAGGAAAGCGTCTCCCTTTTCTGGCGCGTGTATACGTACAGAAGAATGGACTCTCTCTCTCTCTCTCTCTCACACACTCAAGTATAAATCTCATCCGTCAGCGCATTAAGCGACAGACCTTCCTTAGCAAAATCAACCCCATCCATAAACAGCAACGGCATCTCCACCAACGACCCCCTCACCCGCGCCAGCTCCTCCTTCAACTCGCGCACGCCGCCCGGAAAGGCCTCCTTCACCACGTGGCCGTACGCGTATCGGGCTGCTGGGACCTCCGCACCCCCATCACCGTCTCCGCCCGCGCCGGCACCGCTGCCGATAAACAAGTCGGCGAAGTACGCCTGGTAGTCCTCCCAGTTCCGCACCTCGTCCGAAGGGACGCAGTGGAAGGCGTTGTTGAAGACCCGCGTGTTGACCGCCGCCGTCGCGGTCCAGAGCTCGTCGAACTCGTCGGACAGGACGTCGCGGACGAGGAGGTCGGCCGGCGAGCCCCAGTCGTACGCGTTCTGCGGCGCCTGGTCGATCGGCAGGAAGTTGGCGTCGGGCCGGGCGGGGTCCTGGTGGGGGAGGAGACCGAGGTGCTTGCGGAAGAGCTGGCGGCGGAGGGACGTCGCGAACGCGGAGGCTCGGTAAGGCGCGTGGTTCATCTCGGACTGGACGGGCGTCGGGTCGGCGATGACGAGCGCGATTTCGGAGTCGTGGTCGCCGAGTTGCGAGCGGTCGTTGAGGTTGGCGCTGCCGCAGATGACGATCCGGTCGTCGGCTATGAGGACCTTGGAGTGGATGTAGAGTTCTAGACTGCTGTCAGTACGGTAGGGGGCGGTGTGGTGCTCAAGGAGGAAAGGAGGAAAGGAGGAAAGGAGGAAAGGAGGAAAGGAGGAGGAGACTCAGTCTCACCTTCGCTGACAAAAGCATCGAATTCCGCTTCTTCGGTTCCAGCCCACGGGATATCCGTGATCGAGGGACCGTTGTCCATGTAGCACTCGCTGACGCTGTCGTACTTGCTCCCATCAGACACTTGCGCTCCCGCCTCCTGATACTGCTCGTACGCAGGGTTCGAGCGGCCGTCGTAGGCACCGGTACCCTCGCCTCGACCATCGTAGCCAGCACCGACCATATCGTCGTGTTCCCGTCTCGCTCCCTCGTAGTCCACGCCACTGGCGTCTTGAACGCGCGACATGGCCGCGCCGGCGTTGATGCGATCGTAGTTTCTCAGGTTGTAGAAGCGGATGTACTGCTTCGAGTCGGGAACTCCAGCCCGCTCGATGGCTTCCATGATGCTGTGCCCGCCACGACAGATACTTTGATACTGGTATTCCATGATGGCACGCGTACCGAGACTGTCGTCGGCGTGGAGATCCCCGGCGAATGCGGGCACGGCTGGCATGCAGACGATGACTTTGTACTTCTCGCCATTCTGGTAGGCCCGGACGATGCGCTCGACGAGGGCGGCGCCAATCTGGTTCGAAACGGGGTGTTGCTCATCGCCCGTAGCGGTGATGAAGAACTGGTTTTCAATGTAGACGAAATGCTGGCTGTTCTTGATAACCTCTATGTACGCATTTTGAATCGAGTTCTGGATGATCAGCTACAATGGCATGCATTTGGGGAGGGGGGCTGACTCCTTACCTCCTTGGGAACGCCGTTGCTCCACTCAGTACAGCTTCGGACGAGCTGGATTGACATTCCGGTGTTGGATCGGTCTTCCTCGGAATCCTCAACATCGAACATACTGCCGCCGTCGAATCCACGTGATGAATCTTGGTCTCCTCCAGCCTGGTCTCCGGACATTGGTGCAGCATTCTTTCCGTTGGCCTGATAGTAGCCCTCTGGAATCTCAACGGGGTTGAAAGTCAGACCGGTATATCTGGGATCGTCCCGCACGTTGTATTTCTCTTCGAAAACAAAGTTCCACCGCTGCACGAAATGTGCTTTGAGATCCTCCACAACGGGACCCCGCACGCAGATGGAGATATCCGACCAGCCCATCCGGCCGTTCTTCGTGCGGTCCAGCTTGTTGTTTTCCCAGTTCGGGACATCGTCAAAGTCGTAGACTCGAGCATTGTTGAAGTCTTGACCTGGGAAGAGAGCCTGGCTGATGTCGGTGGGATGGGCATCGGCGAGGGGATGGGAGTTGGTATCCCAACGGCCAAAACACAGGTCGAGGCCGCCCATAAAGGCAATGCGTCCGTCCACGAGACACAGCTTCTCGTGATGTGCCCAGTACAAAACCACATCTTGGCTTACGCCGTACCTATCAGACCCGGAGTCAGCAAGGATGATTCTTGAGTAAATTTCGAGAGTGAATTGAAAGACTTGTAAGTGGACCATAGCTGAGAGTAATAACACCTAGGACACCAAGGGGATCAAAATATTGATACTTCAAGAACGTCTCCCGCCACTTACAGGGCTTTGAAGGTCTCTTCGGGGACATCGGCAAGCTGAAGCGACTTCAACGAGAAGTCCTTGAAGCTTTCCATAATCTCAGAGTGGAGGTCTTGTCCCCTCGGGGCATGATCCGGGTGACGGAAGACCGCGATGTTAGGGTGAAGCTCGAGTGCCTTCTTGCTATGTTCCGAGCAAACTGTTCCACCATCGTCGTCATCATCATCAGCGATCAGTACCGTCTACCTATCCCTCTTTCTCCCTTTCTCTCTCGCCTAGTCTCGCCTAGTCTCGCCTATAACATTCAACACGGGATACGAAGGGGGCACCCACGGGTCAAAATCGCCGAAACCTCCTTATAAACAATAACATTGACCTTCACCCCCCTCTCCGCAGCCGCAATCAGCAAGCGATCGACCCGGTAGTCCTCATTCTCCGTCGGCGGCCGTCTCAGATAGAGCTCTACTCAGCGTCAGGCCCATTCCCCAAAACAGGCCCGAGGGAGGGGGGGGGAGGGCAACGAAATTCGATCTTCGCATGTCATATAACAAACAACACATAGATACGTACCAGGGCTGAGCCACCAGTCCAAGATCCAGATGCTGTCTCTCGCCTCCTCCATGGCGACGGACACAGCCCACATGTACCCGCACCCGTCGACGAACCACTTTGCGTCGTTTCCCCTCCCTCGTCGGGGGGGAGCGAAGCTGCCGAACCGGTTAGGACTGCTGGCCGCACCGCGGCGCGCGGGGCCATCATCGGCTGCGTTCTGGAGTCCGAGAGGCGCGGCGCCGGGTGCGTCGTCGGCTTCGGTGTTGCTGGTGATCTCATCGACCTTCTTCTGGATATCGGACGTGAAGGTTTCGAGGGCGTTCTTCGCGCTCTCGAAGAACGACATGATGGTGGTGACGGCGACTGTTCGTTTATGGATCAGATCAAGTGGGCAGAGTCCGAGGATGGTGAGAGAAAGAGATCATGGTAGGTAGGCAAAGTTGTGATTCGCGAGCCCTATTGAAAGTAAATCGGGATTTTGAGGTGTCTGTCCTGTTCGTATTGACTTCCGTCTGGACTGGAAGTGAAATCCCTGAGTCTGCATATGCAAAAGCTTGCAGGGCGAATCAACAGCGCGGGCCGACCAGCCACAATTGGAGCGGGGGAGGGGTAACGTGGCGTCGAGCAGCACGAAGTGGGGGCCAAATAGCCGATGTTTTGTAAACAACAATTGATGGACAGTTACGAATGTTGTCCTTTATTTCCAAAGGACAATAGGGTCTTCGCACTCTCCAATTTACCTTTTTCTTGTAAGGGATACTAACCGCTGGAGAAGAACAGCCCCTGCTTAGATATCGTCTTGACTCTTCCCGGCTCTACCATGCCAGCGGACCGTCACCGGCGGAGACACGTTCCGCCCGCTCAGAGAGCAAAGTCCGAAGCCCTGAGCAGTACCTAGATGGCTGAGGTGGAACTTGGGATTGGCGGCGCTGTTGCCGCAGAGGGGGGAGCAGATTCTCAGTGCTTTGGCTTTTGGCAAAGCGATTTTGGCGGAGACGGATAGCTGCTGACCCTCCCACCAGAGAGCGAGTCCCAAGGGCTCTGGAAGCGAACCAGTCAGTAACAAGATATGCCGAGCTCGCATTTTCCCAGGAGCGGAGAGCAGAAGAGAGGAGAAAAGACGAAGCGTTCATTTACATTACTCAAGCTCCATCTCATCGTCACCTTCCAGTTCAACACCCGTAAAGTTTGTTCTGTGCACGTGATGCTCTGCTACCTAGTCACCCGCGCAAAACACAAATCAATTGGCTTCTTCCGCAGACCCCGTCTTGTACGATGAATCATCTCTCGTTCCTCGATCTGCCGCCCTACTCTCGTTCCGCGTGAAAACGTGGCTCATCTTTCGAAGTGCGGACTTCCAGTGGAGGAGACTCTCTCCGCGGCTTTCTTGACCACGGCTTTGTTATTTGCGCTGATGCCAACTGGCCGCCTAAAGAAGGACGCTGCACACTCCGCGTCTTCAAGAAGCGCGCATAGGTTCTTCGCAGGAAGGAAAATTGGATTGCGAAGACTAGCGCCGGCTAAGGCCTCTGGGGCAAATAAAGTCTGTAAGGCGCAGTCGAAGGGCTTCGGTACGAGTCGTTCTTGAAGTGCTATTAGTGTTACGGAACACTTACAAAGGGTTGGCATAAGATGTAAATATTAATGGTGTTTGCAAACCTGCTGCTCGACAACCATTTTAGCGACCAGTTCCTCTTCTCCAACGTCATTTGTGATGATACTTGGCCGCCAAACAGACAGCGTTGCTGTCTTGCTAGTGTTGTATTCTATATCCAAGCCTACCACGACTCGAGCTTCGCTATCTGACCCAAGAATATATCACAATACTCGCAACCAAAATCAAGCAGGGGTTGACGGAGGTTCAGGCCGTCTTTTCGAAAGCGAAGCCTGTTGATTAAAGACAGGCTAAAAAGAAAAAGGGTAAAAGATTCATAATATGAATATGAATTTATATATATATAAAACTCATGCGATCTGAATACAATCAGAGTGCTTACGCTTGATTGCTAGACGGCAAGCCTTCTCTCTGTTGCCCCGGAGCTTGAGATGTTGAGATGCGCTGCGATAGGAATTATTACTTTTCGCGCCTCGCCTCACTCGTTGTAGGCCTCAGCCTCAAGCCGAAATATCCACTTGTGCTTAGCTAATAAGGAGCACAGAGACCAGCTAGCGAAGGTCATACATACACCTAGGTAGGTAATCTCATAGCACCTGATTCCTGTAAAATCTCCCCTTCGTAGATTATTTATTGCTATTCATGTGAATTCATTCGCAATCGAACCTGCGGTATTTTTTTTATCGACCGTCAGCTGCATCTCTTCTACCTTTTCCAGGTGGAAGATCGTAAAGGTATTGTGCTCCATCAAGCTAGTTTCCGTAGTGGGGCAGAGCATGAGGGAATACCGGTACCGGTACCGTAGATAGTCGTTGGACCTTGGGAGTAAAGTCAATTTTACTACGGAAATTTAAGCGTCGCTAACCAAGCAGGAATACAGTAGCAGCAGGGCGGAAATGGACATCTGGCGATTTCACAAGTCAGATAGCCTAGCCGCACGAGTACAGTCAGTCTAGCTACTTTAAAGGAAACCTAGGCAATCTGGCATATAAAATAGTCTTTAAGTAAGATTCGTAGTTTTCTGGAAAAAAGGAGAAGAAGAAAAAAAAAAAGAGGCAGCCGTGATCGAATATGAAGAAGTCCAATATTTACAACTCGATATTAATATTTAAACAAGAATAGGTACTTAAGTAGTAGGCCTTTATGTCTCTCCATTTCCAAAGAGCCCGTGGACACCTCCAACCCATCAAGACATCAGCTCGTCTATTCGAGAAAATAAAAATTGGTCGTCAAAACAACAACAACGACCAATCGCAGAACTCAAGTAATTCTGAACTCTACCCCTCTAAAAAGCAATTGCAGCAAAGGCGGCACCAGCAACCAAGGCCACCACAGCAGCAAGATACCCCCGTCCTCCGCTGGCAGCGGCAGCAGCACCGGTAAAGACCATATTAGTGCCCTGTGGGTAGTAGAAAAGTCAGTAAGCGGTCGCAGAGAGGGGGTGAAGGTTGGGGGAACAGGGGAAAGAAAGCCGGGGAGGTTCACATTGGAGCTAGGGGGAGAGGCGCCGGTCGAGTAAGGTATGTAGGCGCTGGAGACGAGGGTGGGCGTGGGGGCGAGAGGAGTCGAGACGGCATCGACGGGAGGAGGCGAGACGGCATCAACGGGAGGAGGCGAGACGGCATCGACGGGAGGAGTTGAGTCGTCATCGGCGGGGGGAGGCGAGACGGCATCAACGGAAGGAGTTGAGTCGTCATCGGCGGGAGGGCTTACTGGCTCTGGGGTAGAGGTCAACGACGGAGACGGAGACGGAGATGGAGACGGAGACGGGGCCGGAGCCGAAGCCGGAGCCGCAGCCGCTGGCTCCTCAGGTGTAGGCTCTACCGAGGAAGCAGGCGTAGTCGAAAGCCCGCAGCGGGTTCCGGCAGCGCTGAGAGTGTTCCCGTAGTAGATCCTAGAGAGAAGAAAAAAGGGCGTAGGCAGTCAGTGATTGTTTCGTTTGAGAGACTGTGTTTGATGCACTGTATGATATTGCAATCATATGGGGTCATTACCAGATGTTCTGGTTGTTGGGGCCGGCACAGGCCAGACACGCCGCATAGTCGTTTTGGAAGGCCGTGTCGGTACATGCGTTGGCTCCTCGACTCTGAGTCACGGCAGTTCCTGTGGGCGAGGAGGGGCGGTTAATGGATGTACAGATGCAAATGAACGTAGAGAGAGGACTGGCGCGGCTTACCACAAGAGGAGTGGCAGGCGTATAACGGGGTGCCCGGCTCCTGACGCTTGAGCAAGGCCACCTCCCATTCCTCGGCAGGAGCAGCGACGGCGCAGACGGCACTGATCACGGCGGCCAGAGCCAGGAGAGATCGTGGGGCCATCATCTTGATATGAGATCGATGGTAGTGTGGGGGCGCACTTGAAAGCGAGTGACTGGACTGTTGATCCTGGATAAGCGAGTTCTGATCTGATCTGCAGTTCCAAAGAGTGATGTATGAGTAGGCTAGTTCTTCAGTGCCAGGCTACCTGCTTATATACTCATCCACGAAAATTGTCCGGTAGAGAAGATGGGGTAGGTAGGTAGTAGTACGGACAGTGTCGTCTCGACCAGGGCCCAGGACCTTGTCGAATTAGTGCTGGACTTGGCTGCGCATTCGGAGATGGTGCAAGTGAATATTGGAGCCAAGTAGAGTAGTTACAGGTGCGCAGGCTCGAAGACGGTGTACCGGTACTCTGTAGACAGAGCCTGCAGTCTATTTCCAGAAACAAGAAGAGAGATGAGGGAGTACTGCACAAAGAGAAAGGCTGGATAGGTTTAGAGTTGCCTTGCCTGCCGGACGCGCCGAAGAGTCAGGCCAGTAAGGGGAGGGGGAGCACTGTTGAAGCTCGTCCATGGTCCGATGCGATAACAACGTCAACTTACTACGTGCATGCGTAGGTAGGTAGTCATGCGGGATGCCTGCCGGACGAGATGGAATTGCTGCTGCTGCTCTTCCACTTTCTCCAGAGCCTTTGGTGAGCATACCCTCCGACCTGTATGGTATACCACCTAACTGTATACCTCCCTCCCACCATTGACTCTCTTGCTGTAGAGTACAGACGAGCATGGGAGATTTGAGTCCTGCAAATCCTGCTACCCGTGAGGCATTTTCGGCTTAGCCCAGCCCAGCCTACGGAGACGGTCACGGCAGCCAAGCGGGTTCCTCTCCACTTCTTAAACCTCCATCGTGTGTCTGTGTCGTCGATTGGCCCGAGTCGAGTGGAGTCAACTCGTATTGCCCTTATCAGATCCGATCTTGCGCATGCGGCCTTGGTGCGGTGCGGAGGACATCCAAATAGACTTTATAGATTGATCGGGCGGGTGATGGGCCACTGATTGAACAGCGCCATCTGATCTGATTAGATCCCTAGGCCGGCACCGGGCGGGTGCACAGTCGTCAAAAAATCTCGGCAATATAATATACTCCCATCGTGGTACACATCGGTGCGTTTCGACCTGCGGATGTATTGGGGGAATTCAGTTGGCGCGTGAAGCATTCTCTCGTAATGAATTGCTCTCCGGGAAAAGAAACTCTCAGGTTCACTATTGCCTTACCCGAATGAGAAGCAGCCGACATTTCCTGCCACCACAAACAAGCGGGTGCAGCGCGCCAGAGAGAGCTCTTGGTCGGGCCTGGGCACTGCATGAATGGCTTGGTAAACAAAGTGGAAAAGGTGTGGCACATCTGGTTGCCGGCCGAGGGAATCCAGTCGCAACGCCGTCGTGTGTCCCCATAAATATCAAGAGCCGATACCCTCACTCACGGTGGATGTATTTCACACAACACTTTCAGCAGCACATTACTTGAACATCCATCATCATGTTGTCCACATTCATCGCCACGTCTCTCTTGGCTCGCTTCGCGTCTGCGCAAGCAGTGCACGGTACAGGTGCTCTGGGAACTACCATGGGCCCAGTTGCTTTCCTCTGGCCTGCCGACCGGGCGTGGGATGCAGCCCACGACAACAACGGACCTTGCGGTAGCAATGCGCCTATTGTGAACAGAACCGATTTCCCTCTCGGAGGTAAGCTGGAGAAAGAACCTCCCCCCTCCCCCCCGCCAACGAACATCTGGGAATGACGACTAACTCCTTCGACTTAGCCGTCGGATCCATCGAGACGACCATTGCTGATGATGCCTATAACATGGCTGTCCGCATCGCTTATGGCAACAGTAAGAGACAACCCCATATTCCGATATGGCTGATACTGATAAGCCATAGACCCTACTACCCAAGATCAATTTCAGCCCGTCATTGGCAACGTCGCCGAGCTCGAACCAGGTCACCAGTGCTACTCGGTCTCTACCGCACCTACTGCCACCCCAGGATCGAATGCGACCATCCAGCTCGAGTACTGGGCCGACGACAGCGGAACCCAGGAGTCGTTCTTTGCATGTGCCGATGTCGTAAGCTAAGTCTCAGGTTCTGTTGACACTTCTCCGGCTGACACCAAAGCTTAGACGTTCGTTGAGGCCGCTACCTTCTCCCTCGAAGTCCCGTGCTTCAACGTCACCGAAGACGAGTTCATGCCAGTAGATCCTGCCTCTCCAACTACCCCAGCTACAACAACTCCCGTCGACACACTTGTTTCTGCTGACAAGGACGACAATGATGATGATGATGATGATGGACTGAGCACAGGAGCCAAAGCTGGCATTGCTGTCGGTGCTATTGCCGGTGCTTTGTTGCTTGCAGCAGCTGCTTTCTTCCTTATCAGACGTAAGCGCTCTGCTGCGGCCAAGGAAACTGAGGCTCTGCCACCCATGGGCAAGGTTTCTGACGCGGCTTCGATCGGTTCGGCCCAAACCGCTCGCGGTTAATCTTCCAACGACGCATGGAGGACTGTTCAAGAAGGACATCTTGGAGCTATGACGGCCTGTGGCATGTTTGAAAGGACGAAATTCGTTTCTATGGAGGTGGGCCTGATAGCTCCGGAGTCTGGGTGGGTTCTGGGTATCGGGTTTGTAATTGATGGCATATTTGGACGGCGCGAGGGTACGGAAACACACAGAAATTCGCGACACATAGCGGTAATTACTGGCACAGCTGCCAAATGTATACACATGAAAGGATACGATGTTTTTGAAAAGATAATGGAGAATACTCCTGGAAACATTCCTGATTGCTGGTGCTCGCACCAATCGGGCGCATTCTGTGACCTTGTATCCACGGAGTTCGGGTCAGATCAAGTAGAGGGCTTCATCTGACAAGATTTGATCATCTTCCGCAAAAATATGGTCGACCACCCAAATTCCTTGAAGTTGAATATAGGGGCTTACTCGATTGCGCTTCAAAGTAGTGGGTGGCTGGCGATGGCATGCTTGGACCAACGTTTTGCATAAGACACGGGTATGTATCTGCCGTCGCAAATTCACCAAAGGACTTATGTCGGTCGACAATAGTATATTGGTTTTCGATTGGCACCTATTGATTTTTCCGAATTAGTAGACTCTCAGCTCCGGAAATATCATCAGGGCTGGGTGTATCTTACGACCACGGGCGTAGGACCTAGAGCGTAGAGCGTACAGAGTTGCCATTTAGGCAAGTCGAAGATTGTAGCCAAATATGCCATACTCAGATGTGGCTACCCCGGGTACAAATTGATGACTGTCTTGTATGTAATCCTCCTATCTCGTCAGACTGCTCACTTCCTAGTCTTCCAGTACTCATCCAAGACCTCCTGTGTAACGCAAAAAGCCCAATGGTGACATGTTTGATGCATCACAGGGCTGACCTCCACCTGTTCGTCATCTTCACCGTCATCAAATACGTCTCTGACGCCTGCGGCCACATATTTCTTCAGCAACATCCTCCTCCATCTGCCCGTTGCTCCGACACATTTCTTCCATCTCGAAACTTGTCTCTCGTCATCCTCACACCGTCTCCCCATGTAAAACCGGCAATACCACTGGAACCAGCCACGCACGTCGTATGTATGATTGATCCAGCCAGCCGACTCCCATTCCTCGATTGATTGTCCGCAAGCGACCTTGAACTTGTTGACGTCTGGGTCGTACGTGGGAGATGTGAGATACATGTCGCTATTAAGCCCTTCGGTCCATGCAACAGGCAATTCTCGATAGTCGTCTGATATAGTTACGCCCAGTTTCTTGGAGTAGAGAGGACGATAATATGAACCGCCAAAGCATCCCTCGCGTAACACCTCTTCTGGAGATCTATTCGGGGTGAAGTCCGGATGGGATTCAAAGTGGAACACGCCGGCTTCGTCGCGCGTTGGGGCAGGCGCTGCTGGCTGCCATGCGGCCCAGGACCTTTGTAACTCTTCCATGTCTGCTGGAGACATGGCCAGTGTTTTTGAATCCTCGCCAACCTCCGTTTTCGCGGACTTGTCTGCTTTTCTTGCTTGGGTTGGGGGCTTTCTGGCTCTGGTCCCTGTCGGGATCTTCGAGAGCGCTTCTTTATCATAAGTAGGCCGCGAAGGCGTTGATGCTATCCGAGCAGACGATCGCGAGGCCGGCACATTAAGCTTTACCGTGTCAGTCTTCCTCTTCTTCTTCGGCGGTTCCGCTGTCTTCGATTCAACGTGTATCGTTTTGGCTTGCTGGGTCAGGGTGTCGAGAAGGACACTGTTGCGCGTGAGATTCGCCAGTCGGTCGGTTTCGAATCCATTGATACCTGCCATCTTTCTGTGCGTTGGTATTCTTAGGTTAGCCGCTCTTTTATTGTTGAGATAGAGGATCGATCACGTCGTTGTCGTCGGGTTGAAACAAGATATGATAAATTGTCGTCATCGGGGGCAAATCACGAAATCACGAAATCACGAGACAGCTGAATTAGGTCAGCATTACCTTTTAGTAACCACCTATACCTGTCGGTCTTGTCAGGCAGCTTCTTCTTCTTTGTAAATCAGAAACATCTTTTAACACATGATATATTACTTTCGAAAGTCCTTTTGAAATCCTCTTAGAAACCTTATCTTTAGCTAGCATGGTTTCGGCCGCTTCAAGAAACCACCTGAATTCGGGTCTTTGTTTGTAAACAAGATTCCACTTCTCGTTCTCGCTTGTGGGAACCTCAATCCTTTGGGTTCTTGCCATCAAAATCTTATGGGCGGTAACTGCAGATTGGAACACGAGCTAGACTCCTATCCTCTTTGGCCTGGTGACCCAACTATCCTAGCATTCTACCTCTGGATCCATCGAACTCATTCGCAAACACGATGCCGAGGTCTCCACTCTAAGAAATTCGAATCTAGGACCCGCCTGAACAGGACCTCTCAGTGCCCTTCCTCACGCCCTTTTGCTCTGATTTCAACCATTATGTAGATAGATATCGATGTTTCTTTGTTGCACGTCAGTCCGTATGATAATAGTAGGTAAAAATTCACCTTTGATCAAAACTTCATCGCCCTATCTGTCAAATATCCGGTGGTATAATTACACCTCGTCGTCCTTGATAACTTGAAGGTGGCACAAGTCATTCATAGTTCTGCAGTAAGCTCAACGGCCACTGGAGGGAGAGGGGTCTTTAGTAGACGACTAAGAATGTAGAAACCTACCTTGGCGCAGTTGACAAGGACTCTGTAAAGATCGTTATTCCACTCGTACCTGTAAGGTGCTTCAATTTGCATGTTTCGTAGATACCAATCACTTAAAAAGCCCATTCTGAACATCAAGATCACAAGGTGCTAATGATGGATAATGTACAATTCGATATTCGATACCTCAAACCCCTCAGCAGTCCATTGTCCCATTGAGTCCGTTCCCAAAAATCACACCAGGGCCACTAAGCAGCGTCCGAAATCACCACATCACCAGGCAGAGTTCCTCCCTTCCCATTTGTATGTGGCCAATTCCATTCCAGGACCGCTGTGCAGGCTTTCATCTTCTCATCTCAAGTTTGGCGTCTCTGAAGACAGGCTAGTGTTGATATCATACGTCAGGCTACCCAGTGTCAGACTCTGAAGGTTCAACTCCATGACCGACTTCTTGATGATATCGGGTGTATCTTGGTGGAAACCTGTGATCTGCTTGTTTACAATCAGACTGTTGATTGCAGCTGAAGAACTGCGACCGTAATCCCAAACGACTGTGACATCGTGACC